AGAGGATTCAACTCCATGGGAGAGCTCAAAGCGCCGTAAAAGTGTGCAGTTGCCCCCAGCTCCAGCTAACTGCTCGCTGTGCAAGAAAACAGACTCAGTGCTAACTTGATTCTTTAAAAAAAGAGGTCAGAAATCAGGAATTTTATGTGAAATCTCCTGATTTTTAAATGTTAGCTGAAGTACTTGTACAATATTGTGTTTTGAGGTTTACCACCAAAATATCCATAGTTCCTGAAGGAAGTGAAGAATGCTTTGGCAAAAAGCAGGGAATTGGGGCCAACATCACGCCAACACCTGGGAGGACCCAAGGGATGGCATTTTGAATGGGTGGAGTACTCTCTGTCACCTTGCTGCTCTCTGTAGAAAGTTCCCCTAAAATATGACCTTGAATTAAAATAAGGGCTCACTGGGAATAGACTATATTAGCAGTGGAAGGAAAAGAACTGCTGCTGCTGTAGCATCTTGTGGATTGGGAGGAAAATGGAGGGAAATGAGAGCAAGTTTTAGAACTGAATTTCTTAACATTTGTTAAATATTCCCGGACATTTCTGGAATTGCCAAGCACATTTAGAAAGCTTACAGAATTTGTCCATCATAAACTCATTATTTTATCTCCCATGTCAGGAGGCATATTAAGACTTGCCAATCTGTTCAACAAACATTTATTGAGCACTTTCTATGTGCCATGTACTGATAAGGACTAGGGATAAGAGCCAAATAAGACATGCTTATAGTCTAAAGGGGGACACAGATGAGTAAACAGATGATTAAAGTGCAGGGTGAAGAAGTGTTATGAGGATTATGAATTTGTGAATGGCAATGATGAGCTGTACCCAAAAGGTCTAATCCACAGAGGGGAAATCACAGAGGGCTTCCTGGAAGAAGCAGCAACTAAAGAACAAACAGGAGTTATAATCCTTATTTAGGGCTTAGTCCATGCCAGGGATTGTTCTTAAAAGCCCTATGTTTATTAACCGATGTAAATTCCCACAACAACCTTAATAGTATGCATACCTCATATTATCTGCATTTTATAGACGAGGAAAATGAGCAGGGAACATGCCCAGTCACATAACTAGTAAGTGTCAGAACTCAGATGCCATGCTCTTCACTCCTACATATTCTTTACATGTTTATATTGAAAAAAATACAGAATAATTAGAACATACTACAAGCAGTTATGATCTGATGATTTCACTGGGATGGGGAATACTATAGAAACAAATACCTTGTCTTTTCTTATTGCTTAGGGCTGTTGCGAATGTAAGTGAGCAATTCTTTCTAGATTCAACCACATTCAGAAGAAAAGTTCCAGATACGTTGTGATTGTTTCACTTTTTAAAATTTAGCACGAGCTAAAGTCACCTAAAGACACCAGTTTGATTTCTTTACACTAGGATTTCTTTTTAAACAACTACATGTAACTTGTGTCTGCACCTCCTTTCTTTTATATTCTCTATCAAGTTATCTGGCTGGGGATGGAAGGATGAGGTAGATAGATGAGTTACGGAATGCTGTCCCACAGGACCTATTACGGTTATTTTTTAATTTTTATTTTTTAGTTTAAATAGTACATTTCTTACATCATTAGATATCTGGTGCTGCCAGCATATATTCATCTGAAGAACTCATTTATTAAATATGAAAGATCATTCAGTCAAGTTCACTTCCTATCTCAGCAAGGTTTCCTTGTGATAGAAAGACAATATTTTATTTTCAAATACTATATTACCACAAATGCCACTGGATGAAGGGTACACTGTGTGTGTGTGTATCATAGCCACACACAGAACGATCAGTTTAGACTTTAACATAATATCCAGAAACTTCAGAGTTAGTTAATTGACAAGAGTGACTGAACTCACAAAAGCAAGGTAATAAATTTGATTTATTAACCACAGACAGAATAGTGTATTGGTCTCACATATGATTTAACTCTTGGAAACGATCTAACACTGAACTCTAAACAATCTGAGAAGAATAAGGAAATCAATATCTAAACATAAGAGGATGAATACGATTTTATTTGTAAGGCATTAAGGCATTTCCTTAATGTCTCAAATGATTTAACTTTAATAACTGAGTATTTGAATTTAATCTTTAAGCATTTATGAACATTTAGTACAAAATGAATTTAAAAAAAAATTCTACTTAAAACAGAAACCATCAATTTATTCCACAATCCAGCTCCTATCTGTTACTGGGCTGCCGATTTCCAAGGTTCCCAGGCCAAAACCTCAAACTTATCTTGGATTCCTCTACTCCTATCTATTCCAACATCAAGCCCAGAGGATCTGCCTATTGAAAGAAACAGTCAGCAGGCATACAATGTCTTCACCTTCACTCTCTTAGCCTGCTGCCCTGTCTCCTTCCTGATACACTAAAACTGCTCAATGGAGTTACTAATGGCCTCCTGATTGCTACATCCGCCAAATACTTTCATATTTTGACTATTCTCCCTTAAGGAAACTTCATTTGTTTGCACGATACGTCCCTCTGCTTCATATCACTTTCTCATTGTTGCTGTCTCTTTCATGGATTCTTCTTCCTTTGCCCATCCCTTATATCGGGTAGGCCCTTGTATTTCCTCCTCTAGCCTCTTTTGTTGTTGTTATTGTTGCCATTCTGTACTCTCTCTGCAGGCCAGTTCATCCATTCATGACTTTAACTGCCACTTACATGCTGAAGAAGCCCAAATACCCAGGCCAGACTTCTCTCTCAGACTTGAACATATATGTACCTTCAAAATTCTCAGTCTGAATGTCTCAGAGACCCTTTAATCAACACTTCCATCTTCCCTTTCTAAATCTGCTATTTCTCCTAGATTCTTTCTATATATTGATTGCATCATCAGTCATCTAAACTCAAAACCTGAGTTTCCTTGACTTTTCCTTTTTCTTCATTTCTAACATCTAATTAATATTCAATTAAGACTTTTAGTTATTTTTCAACTCGGTTCCCTCCTCTCCATCCTAACTTCTATTTTCCAACTTTAGGATCTCATCACTTTTACCTAGAACATCCATCTACCCATCCACCCACCCACCCACCCACCCATCCATCCACCCATCCATCCACTTATGCATTTGTTGAGTGCCTAGAAGCCTGGTACTGCTATACATACTGGAGATATAAGAGTGAGAAAATGAGACAAAACCCCTGCTCTCATGGAGCTTACTTTCTTGTGACAATTGCAGTGGCTTCCTAACTGGTCCTGCTGGCCTCCAGTCTCATCTTTCCCACCCATCCTCCAAAGCAATGTTCTACCTAAAATGCAAATCTCACTATGTCACCCCCTGCTGCTGCAAGCCTTTCCATGGCTTCCTATCACCTATGAGAAGAGTCCAGGCTCCCTGGCTAGAAATACAAGCCCACCAGGAGGTTGCCCCTGCTTACCTCTCTAGCCTTACCACTTCCCTACTATTGTGGCCCCTCCTCAGCAACACTGGATTACTAGACTTGCCTGCACACCTCATTTAGCCACTCTTAATGCTGCTCTTTCTGTTCTAGGAACACTCCTCTCACTTAAACTGGTTAACTCCTTCTCCTTCTTCAAGGCCCAGTTCAGGCATCCCCTTTTCAGAGGGGATGACCACTGGGACTCTGACCACTCCCCTTGTGCTCCAGAGTCCGCTGAGGTTCCTGCTCTCACAGCAGATACCGCATGATATGGAAAAGGTCTATTTACATACGTCTTAGCTCATCTGACTACTACTGCTACCGCCTTCGTCCTCATTAACTCTAATCTGGATCATTGCAAATGTTCTCCTCATCTCCACTTTCTACCCCCTCCAAACCATTCCAAATATCACTACCAGATTAATCTTCCCAAAGCACAGAACTGACTGTGTGTTCCTCTTCAAATCAAAAGCTTTAATGGCTTCCTTTCCTCTACTATCATGGTTCCCAAAGAGTGGCGCATGCACCATTTGTGAAGTGATTTCAGATGGTACACGGGCATGGCGTTAAATGACTCTGCATTACAGAATAAAAATTTCCCTTTATTAGTTTTCTTCTAATCCTCACTATGTCCAAGAGAAAGCTTGAACATGTATCCAACCCTTGATTAACTCTTTATAACAAAGAGCAGGCCTCAGGACAGAGCCCTAAATAGGAAAACGGTACTTAGCTGGACTTTAAAATATTGTTTTGTTTTCAGTTATTGCTGTGGTTACATTTTATTTTTGGAAAGTTACACTGGTTTTCCATTTATAAGTGTGATATAAAGTTTTCTTTCAAAATAAATTTATTTAAGCCCCCCAAAAGGTGAGTTGATTTAAAGGAAAGTATTAAGTACACACTGGGACAGGTAGTACACAGACATGGTAAAGTCATGAGAGTAGCACTGAAACGACTGATGTTTGAGAAAGACGCATCAGTCATATCAGGTCCAAGCTTCTCGACCTGTAACCTATTGCTCACTTACTTATACGTTATGCTGCTTTAGGCCTTAGAGGTCACACAAATCTCCCAGCCCATATCAGGCTGTTGTATTGTAGGACTTTTGTTTCCTTAAGGCTATTTTTTTTAAATCTGGCAACAGTGATCAATCGTTTTCTGTTCTCCAAATATGTACCACTTTCCAGCCTCAATGCTTCCACGGGCGCTGTTCCTTCTGCTTAGAATGTTCGGCTTCCCATCTCTTCCTACTGAAATCCTATAGTCCTTCAAAGTCCATGCTAAGTGCATTCTCCTTCATGAAGCCTTTCCTCATCCTACAGTCAGATGGATTTCTCTCCCTTTCACAGTACCCATAGCACCTCTCTTTCCACTGTGCTGCCTATCACAGTTTTGGTGATATTCTAGATGTTCAAATAATTATACTCTCCCACCTAGTAGATTTTAAGCTCTTTCACCGAAGAGAAAGGAAGAACATGAATTTTATTCATTTTTTATACCACCATGGTACTTAACAAAGTGCCTTATACACAGAGTAAGCCCATAATTAATATTTGCTGAATTAAACTTAATATTTCAAGCAACATTCATGTGATACTTACAATTTTGCGCTTGATCATGAAGAGTGGGATTTTTGCATGAAGCGGGGTTGAGGACAGTTCTTTATGGACCGTTGATAAATACAATCTTCTTTTGATGTTCCCTAAATCAGTAATTCTGAAGAAATAGAGAGGAGGGAAGAGAGAAAGATTCCCATCAATATAATAACCCCTTCTTTGGATAATCATCAAAATGATATAATTTATCATATAGGCCCTTTCCAATAGGGAGATCAAATACAGAATTTAAAAATTGCCCTTTTCTTTCAAGAAGTAATAAAATTCCTTCCATAGATTCAAAGGGCTCACAAGTCTGAATGTATAAATTCACTTAATATGCTAATTTATTTCAGTACTCTACACAAGATTTCCACAGTCTTCTAGCCTATGAAAAAATTCAATTTATATGAACTGAGAAACTGCTAGCCTTTAATAACCATGCTTGTTCCAGCCCCTTAAGCTTGTGTTATCTTGGGACATACTGTCACCTGCTAAATAGGAAAACAATATGGGTTTCTTTCCCTAAAAATGCACCTGTCATTTTATATAGGCTCTTAGTCTGCTTAGAGACAGACACAAAACACTGACTGTCGGTTTCACTTCCTAAGCACATATCTTCGAACCAGAATTATAATACACAAGTTTATTGCTCACTATTCAGGTCAAACCGCAGTGACACCAAGGACACTGAATCTGAACATCCTTAATAGATTTAGACCACAGCCATGATCACAAAGATTAGGTTTGCTTCAAATTGATAGAGGCTCATTTTTATGTTCTGCTTCCTTTAGGTCTCAGAGGTAACATAGCAGGCTTACAATCTCCAAACCTGTCTCAGGCTGCTATATTATACAACTGATGCTTCCTTAAAGCCTTTCCTTTTATTGGAGAACAGTGATTTTTCCCCCCATTTTTAGCAACTTTGTCTAAATGTACTAAGTGCTAATTTTCTACAATTAGCAATCCCCCAAGGAGACAAAAATTTCATTCAAATACACTGCTACCAATATTTATAGTGTAATTAATTACTTTTTAAATCAACATAGCCTTTTCTATAGCTCTTCCTTGCCTCCTCTCGTACTTTTCTAATCTCATTATTTCCTCCCTCTAACATACTCTACATATTTTTCTGTAGAAAAACTATCATTGAACAGTGTTAAGAATAAGTGCAGTAAAAATTAGGTGAGATAATTTCAGAGTATGGCCTAGACCTAAAAATTCTACCTTACCTGCACTAAACGATACCATAAATCCATTTAAAAAGTAATAAAGCCTTTCAATCCATAGTCAGAGGTAAGGTTTAAAATGCAAAAGTGTTAATACTACTGTAGTTTTACACTTAGATGTATAAGTAAAAGTAGTATAATATTTGCCCCAAGGTAGTGTCTTCAAAGTGGGATGAGCACATGGGGAGGTGGTACACAACCCTCCACTGAATTGTAGAAGGAAAATATTAGAACTATCTTTCATCTCATTCTTTAAAATTTTATTTTTGTGCATGTTTCATATATAGTAGTACAGAAATATATTTATATATTTTTGAAATAAACGTACCTATGTGGTTAGCGTGCTCAAATATTTTACCAACAGGGTTTAGGATCAAATATGTTCAGAAAGCATTGTCATAAAGGATGCTATTAGCTCTCTTTTGTAAGAAGTTCTGATTAGGGGATAGAAAGAAAGACTACAGAGATCGTGGAAGGGGAAAGAAAACAAGAAGTTTCCTTGCATCAAACAGAAAGTTTTGTTGCATCAACCAAAAACTCATTTGAGGCAGTTTTATTACAAGTTTGCTTTGCTTATAGGGATAAGACTATGTAATTTTTATTTGATTGGTAAGGATCAAACTCCAAAGGGAGGAACACTTGAGTATACTATCACTTTATCGACATATGGAACAACAGGAATGTTGTTGTTGTCATTCACATGTTTAGCAAATACTCACTGAGCTAGGCAATATCCCAGGAATACACTGAGGAACACAATTCTGAAAAAGGCACGTCCCTACCCTCCTAGAGCTTCTATGCTAGTGGAAAAGGCAGGTGAAAAAAAGTATAAAGAGACAAAACAAATGCAAGTTATAACTAAACGCAATGAAGGAAACAAATGAGAGATTCAACTAGAAAGCACCAAGAAATGACCTACTTTAGACAGTAAAGCCAGCAAGGCTGGGATCTAATTGGTAAGGGAGGGACATGAGGCGGGAGGGTGGGCAAGAGCCAAATCATGCAGGGCTTTACGTCAAGGTAAGGGGTTGACAAATGCATTGTTCATAATAGAAAGCTATTAGAGGGTCAACATTCTACCTTGCATGATGAATGGATATCATAAAAATAAATAACTATGGTGTCTTTTATTTCTTTATTGGGGTAAAATTTGTGTACCTTCTGAAAGTCACAGATTTTAGTGTACAATTTCAGGTGTTTTGATAAATGTATACACCTATGTAATCACCCTGTTGATCAAATATAAAATATTTCCATCACTCTAGAAAGTTCCCTCCTGGCCCCTTCTAGTCAGTCCTCATTCCTGATTTCTATTACCATGGGTAAGTTTTGTCTGTTCTTAAACTTCTTATAAATGGAATGGTGTAGAATATACTCTTTTGTGACTGGCTTCTTTCACTTAACATGATGTATTTGAGATTCATCCATGTTATAGCATGTATCAATAGTTTTTTTTTTAAATTGCTGAGTCTTGTATGGCTATACACCAATTTACTTATCCATTCTCCTGTTAGTGGATATTTGTTTCCAATATTGGTTTTTTAGGAATAATATCTGTATGAACATGCTTATAGAGTCTTCCTGTGGACATGTATTTTTATTCTCTTGATAAGTAGGAATGGGATTACTGGGTCATTGGGGAAGATATACATACAGCTTTATAGAATCACTTCTCCAAAGTGGTTGCAGTGGTTCCACATCCTCACAAACATTTGGTGCTATCAGACTTTAATGTTAGACAATTCTAGTGGGTATGAAATGGATACCATTGTGATTTTATTTGTATTTCTCTTATGGAAAATGGTATTGAATACTTTATAAGTGTTTACTGGTATATCTTGTGAAGTATCTCAAGTCTTTTGCTCAATTTTTATTGAGTTTTCTTATTATAATGTAAGAGTTCTTTATATATGTTGGATACATGTCCTTTGTCAGATATGTTTTTCTTGCCTATTATCTTTTTTTTTTTTTTTGTGAGGAAGATCAGCTCTGAGCTAACATCCGTGCTAATCCTCCTCTTTTTTGCTGAGGAAGACGGGCTCTGAGCTAACATCTATTGTCAATCCTCCTCCTTTTTTTTTTCCCCTAAAGCCCCAGTAGATAGTTGTATGTCATAGTTGCATGTTCTTCTAGTCGCTGTACTTGGGACGCGGCCTCAGCATGGCCGGAGAAGCGGTGCATCGGTGCGCACCCGGGATCCGAACCGGGGCTGCCAGTAGTGGAGCGTGCGCACTTAACCGCTAAGCCAGGGGGCCGGCCCCTTGCCTATTATCTTAATGGTATCTTTTTTTTAACTTTTTATTTTGAAATAATTTCTAACTTAGAGAAAAGTATCAAGAATAGTACACAGAAGATGCATATATGCTTTATCTAGATTAGCTTATTGCTTAATGATGACTTTTGATTAGCAGAAGTTTTTAATTTTCATGAAGTCCAGTTTATCTTTATTTAGAGTAGTGCTTTCTGTGTCTTAAAAAATCCTTGCCTAGCCCAAAGTTGGAAAAATACTTTCCTATGTTTCCTTCTATATCTTCACAGTTTTAGTTTTCAGATTTAGTCTATGATCCATCCCAAATTAATTTTTGTGTATTGTGAGGTAGTGGGTGTGGCTCTTTTCTTTCTTATATGTTTATCTAGTTGTCCCAGCACCATATCTTTAGACTCCCCTTTCCTCATTGGGAAGGGTTTGTCTGGCCCTGGCTTTTCCATATAATTTTAGGATTCACTTATCATTTTCTATAAAAAAGTTGTTGCAAGTTTAACTTGGATTGTGTTGAATCTACAGATCAATTTGTGAAGAACAATATTGAGTCTTCCAATCCACTTACATGATATATCTCTCCATCTACTTAGGTCTTGTTTAATTCCTTTCACAATGTTTTATAGTTTTCATTTTAGAAGTCTTATACCTCTTTTGCTAAATTTATTCCTAAGTATTTTGTTTTTTGACATCATTGAAAATGAATTTTAAAATTTCATTTACCAGCCGAATGCTACTAAGTGTATAGAAATACTGTTGATTTTTGTACGTAGACCTCATTTTCTGTGACCTTGCTTAATTCACTCATGAGTTCTAGTGGTTGTTTTGTAGATTCCTGAAGATTTTCTAAATAAACAATCATGTCTTCAGTGAACAAAAACTTTCACTTGTGCTTTTTTCGATCTCTGTATCTTTTATTTCTTTTTCTTGCTTTACTGCACTGGCTAGGACCTCCAGCACATACTAAATAGAAGTGATGAGAGGAGAAAACCTTGCCTTGTTCCTGATCATAGGGGGAAAGTGTTCATTACATTTCTATTAAATATGACGTTAGATGTAGGTTTCCTTTATCAGATTGAAGATGTTTTCTTCTATTTCTAGTTTTTTGATTTTTTTTTAATCATGAAAGGGTGTGGAATTTTGTCAAATAAGTTTACCGCATTGATTGAAATGATCTTATCGTTTTTCTCATTATTCTGTCCATATGTTGAATTATGCTGATTGATTTTCAAATGTGAAACCAACCTTGTATTCTTGGTGTAAATTTCAATTATGCTAGCATTTTGTTGAGGATTTCTATACCTCTGTTCACAAGGGACATTGGTCTGTAATTTTTTTGTAATATCTATGTCAGGTTTTGATAACAGAGCTAAGCTAATCCCATAAAGTGATTTGGGAAGTGTTTCCTCCTCCTCCATCGTCTGAAAACTTGTTAAAAGTGGTTCTTGTTACTCTTCAAATGTTAATAGAATTTTTCTATGTCTGAAGTTTTCTTTGTGGGAAGGTTTTGATTACACGCTCAATTCTTTAATAGATTACAGGGTTATTCAAATTTCTATTTTTTCCTGTTTCAGTTTTGATATACTGTGATTTTCATTTAAAATTGTTGAGTTTATTGCTGTAAAGTTTTTC